ACACACACATTCACATGCTCACACACACCGTACACACATGCATCATACACACACTACACACACATTCACATGCTCACACACACCATATACACACACATCATACACACACCACACACTAATACATACCACACACTATACACACACCACACACACATTCACAGGCTCACACACACACGCACACCACACACACACATTCCTACACACCACACATACTACATACATACACACATAAACACGCTTACTAGACCAGGCTGGCTTCAAAATCTGCCTCTACCTCTCAGGTGCTGGATTAAAGATATGTGCTACCACACCCAGTTTTAAAATTACATTTTCTTAGTAGATCTTCCTGCTGTGTGGAATACAATTTTAGATTTTTTTAAAGGGTATTCAGAGCAATTTGAAATTCATAGCACCTGAGAGGAACATAGAAAGATATTTCTATTGGGTCATCTGCCTTCAACTGGTACTCATGCATATGCCCATTATCAATATGGCTTCCCAGAATGGCATATTTATTTTAATTGATCAGCCAACATCAGTGCTTGAGCACCAAAAGGCTGGGGCTTTCATTGTCAGTCCAGTCTTGGTACTGTATTTTCCACGAGCATAGACAAATGCATAATGGTGGGTTTCCTTCATCCGGGTATCACATATTCTCACCATGCTAAAGTACTTGCATTCTACACATGCATTCTTCTCACCTACCTGGTCCCTAGAAAACACATTTTAAAAAATTACCTCTTCTTACTCTTTATATCTATGTACCAAAATGTTAAGAGAATATTCATAGGTTTAGAAACATTGTATCAATGGGAATCTTGTTGCCTGTGGAGGCCTGCTGGGAACAGGACTTCTGAATGGTGAATAAACCTGGAAGGCTGTGATACAAAGCCATTTTTCCTGGCTAGGAGTAAGGTCTCTGAAACCAAAGAGAGTAAAGGGCTCTTGGTACATCTGAAGGTGTTTATGGCTGAGATGAAACTGAATTGCACTTGGCCAAGGGATATACTTTATGTGTATAAAGCAAATATCAATGTAGTTACTCCTGGAGGCAACCAAACAAAACCAGGGTGATCCAGGCCAAGTAACTTGGGCCAGAGAAACAGAGGCATGGTTTCTGCCAAATTCTGAAGCCACCTTCCTGTAAAGGCCACTGGACAGGGTCCATGTGATGCTGTACCTTTCCCAGACTTACTTTATGAGAAGTAAATAAATAAAAAATGGATTTTTTGTAAGGGTAAAAATTAAAACAGCTCAGCAGAGACCACAAACAACTTGGCAAAGACTGCAGGACAGCTTGCTGAGCTTACTGAGAGTAGCCATAATAAAAATATCAAGCCCCTCTAGGGACGAGGTGACCAGAAATGTAGAAACAACCAAAGACATATCTTGACCAGTCTAAACATGCCTGGGCCACCTGGTGTTTATCCTAGAAGGTCTGAGACTTCATGGTCAAAAATAGTGGGCCATCCAACCTGTCAAAATGATTGCTTACGCAAAGTGCTGGTGTTTGAAATATCCAATCATATGTAATCGTGCCAGAATTTCCCACTTTTCCCTTCCCCCTTTAAAAGTTCTAAACTTCCTGGGGTCTTCATCGAAATTCTCTCCCCTGCGTGGGATGAGTTTCGATCCAAGGGCCCTTGTTAGTAAACTGCCTTTTGCCATTGCATCAAGTAAGTCTCTCGTGTCTCCTTGGGTGCACGCTAATTGGGACTTGAGTTGGGGTCCTCTTCCTGGGTCCTTACATTTTCTTTTCCAAAAAAAAAGAAACATGTATATTGAAGATATAGCATTCCAACTAATGTTTCATATGATGTTTATTGAAATGTATTTTGCTTTTCTCCCCACAGAGACGTTTATCACAACTTAAGCCAGGTAATGTTTACCAGTTTTGCATCTCTCCTGAAAGTTGCTACTCCAAGGTCTCCCTTCATTACTTATGTTTCCAGAAATCCCCCCAAAGTGCTTTTGTCATAAATGTTCTATAGAGTGGCAGCGCTCAAGGTGCGTTTGAAGACCCTTTGGGTTGAGGAGGCCTAGTCAGGGAGGCTTGATCACATACTGGTGCAAGGGTGGGCTTCTCTCCAAATATTCTTCCTAAATAGCAGAAGTAGAGAGGGTTACTCAAGTGTCTTCTGTTGAAACACTTCAGAGATTTCAAAACTATTCGCAGACATTGGGGATCAGGGGCTGTTCATAAAATTCTTTAACTTATCGAGGCTGTCTAAATTATCATTGAATGTTCTTAGTTTTATTACATGGTACATGTTGATAAATCTAACCCAGTTAATACAAAAGTCTTATGGAAGCCAGGCATGGTTTGTACTCTGAGTAATCAGAAGGATGATGCCCAACAATCATAAATTTGAGGCCAGCCTGAGCTACAAAGTAAGATCGTGTATAAAAAAATTATATGAAATTAAGTTTTGAAGGCTGGAGATGTAGCTTATTTGGTAGAGCACTTTCCTGGCAAGCACAAAGCCCCCATGTCACTCCCCAGCCCCACATAACTTGGTATGGTAGCTGGTCCATGCCTGTAATGTCAACACTCCAGAATTCAGCACTCCAGGTCCAGAGTTCAAGGTTATCTTCGGCTTCACAGTGAGTTCAGTCAGCTGATGATGTCAAATGTCATCTAGGACATAGACCAATTAGTTTTGGGCAACATGGCAAGACCCTGACTAAAACACTATTCCAAAAACCAAAGGAGACATTAATTACAGTTATGAAACATATATAATTCATGAAACTCTAAACCTTTCTAAGTCTAGATTTTCCATACTGGGCACTATTGGCACATATCTTTAATCCCAGCACTGGAGAGGGAGAGACAGGTGGATCTCTTGAGTTCAAAGTTAGCCTGGTCTACAGAGCAAGTTCTGAGACAGCCGTGGGGGTGGGGGAGAAGTAGAGCTTTGGCAAACCAAGGTTCTACTAAAGAGGTTGGGAAGAAAATTTATTAATATTTTGAAAGGCATCTGCAACCGATGGTTTCATCTGAGTTCTTGCTAGCCTTTAAAAAGCAGCTGATGCTAATGATGTCCAGTGGATTCTAAGTACCTGATGTCTATCATTTCTTAGTCTGTGAGCTGGGTACATGGTAGCAGCAGCACAAGTTCCTACCCTCAGTTTTGTGTCATTACAGCTTGTTGTAAAACATTATATAAAGTCGCTTATTTGGTTTATAAACCCACCATGATTCCAAAACCTAAAACCTAACACAGTTCTAAAATTTAATGACACTTTTTAAATATTCAAAAACTTGGAATAAATAGCAACAAGAAGCCTCTACTACCAGTAGAGGCAGTATAAGCCTAGTGACCAATCCCAGAACCTATATGTTAGGAAATAGAGAGGCAATTCCACACAATTGTCCTCTTACCTCCACATGTGCACCATGACACATACAATCACCAACTGGATATATCACACACACACACACACACACACACACACACTAATAAATAAAAATTTAAAATAACTGTCTAGAAGATATAAACCAATAATATGCTATGATATGTTGATAGTATACACCCCAGGAATCTGTCAGCATCACCTAGAATATCATCAAAATAAAAGATACAAAACATCATCACAGTACTTAGGAACTTTTACCAATATTTTCCAGAAAGACTTTATTCCCATATTTAAGAACCATGACAGGGCTGGAGAGATGGCTCAGTGGTTAAGAGCACTGACTGCACTTCCAGAGGTCCTGAGTTCAAATCCCAGCAACCACATGGTGGCTTACAACCATCTGTAATGAGATCTGATGCCCTCTTCTGGTGTGTCTGAAGACAGCTACAGTGTATTCATAATAAATAAATAAATCTTTAAAAAAAAGAACCATGACAAAAGTAACTAAGAGAAGCCTACAGCTCAGCCCACCACAGCAAAACAGCCAGAACAGCGAAGAGAAACTTTCAAAGGTCAGACCACCTCACAGCTGGCTCAGATGTGTGCAAAATCACCACCAGAAATCAGCAAATATTTAAATGCAATGAATAAATTTAATCTAATAACCATTGAAAATACTATAGTTAATTTATCATACTGTGTATCCATTTCAAACACACAGAGCATTTAGCAGGCTATATACTTCGACAAAGAACTAAGACAATGGGCCATGAATTCTGTAACCAACAGGCCTTTAACTTGGAAATTGCTTAGAAAATCTTCACGTTCAATTTTTGTTTTGTTTTCCTCACTCCCTAGGCAACCCAAGCTGGTCTTGGACTTAAAATCCTCCTGCCTCCACTTCTAGAATGCTGGGATTATGGACATATACCATTCCAACCAGCCTCCACCTTATTTTTCATATGTGGGTGTTTTTCCTGCTGGTATGTATGTGCACCATGCACATGCAGTGCCTGTGGAGGCCAGAAGAGGGCGCCCATTCCCCTGGAGTTATAGATGGTTGTAAACCACCAAGTGGGTAAATTAAACCAGGCCTCTCTGGAAGAGCAACTAAGTTGGTGCTCTTAACCCACTAAGCAACCTCTCTATATGATGGAGATTTTAAGTACATGTGTTCATGAGTTATGAAAGAAATCAAAATGAAAATTACAAAGTATTTTGAACTAAATAACGAATCTCTCCAGGCAGATATAGAAGGACAAGGACAATCCTCTCCATCTTAACAACCCAGAGGAAGACGTGCATTCGAAGTGACAGTTGACCTTGAACACAGGGAGAGACCCTAACATTTTCTCATAAGACAAAAACAGAGCAAAACCCCACAAAATACCATTTTCACCCAACTGAATGACACAGGGACTTGTGGGGGAGAGGAGAGGGAGCTCTCACATATTGCTGTGGAAGACCTATCACCCAAACTGCTGTTTAGTAGCTTGAAGAATTAGAATGTGGAACAAACAAGAAGGCACAGTGTGTGTGTGTGTGTGTGTGTGTGTGTGTGTGTGTGTGTTGCCACACACCTTGGTGACCTGGGTTTGATCCCTGGAATCAAGTGTTCCAGTTAGTGTTAATTGTCAACATGACCCAACCTATAGTCATCCAACAGGAAAGCAAAATATTGAGAAACTGCCTAGATCAAATTAGTTGTTTTTTGAAAGAACATTATGAAGCATGTGTTGATATTAAAAGAAAAAAAGATCTTATCTTTACTGATTCTATAAAAAGGTTTTCAGAATTTACAGAAACAAAGGCAATGGATACCTGTACAGGTTGGATACCTGTAGACTCGTGGGAACTGGATGACAGGAAAGAGAGGGTTTTGTTTGTTTGTTTGTTTGTTTGTTTTTGTCATCCTGTTTTAAATATAATTTGCTGGTGCCTGGAGCGATGGCTCAGCGGTTAAGAGCACTGACTGCTCTTCCAGTGGTCCTGAGGTCAATTCCCAGCAACCATATGGTGGCTCACAACCATCTGTAATGGGATCTGATGCCCTCTTCTAGTGTGCCTGAAGACAGTGACTCATACATAAAATAAATAAAATTGTGTAAAAAAATACATTTAAAATATATAATTTGCTTTTGACTGTGTAAATAAGTTATTCAAGGAAAAATAAAAAATGAGAAACCCTGTCTAGAAAAGAGCAAAACAAACAACAAACCCCCAATGGTATCTGTTTCTATTGAAGAGCCATATATGTCAGATACTAAGAATGCTACAAAGGCTATATGGAAACTGATTTCATTTTCTGTAAAAACAAATGTGGAAGTGTAGGAAGGCTGTCATGTCTGTTTACAGATGTAAAGAAAGATTCATGATGATTAATACAGAGTGTTGTCAGCAGTTCCCTCAAGGTATAGAAAGAATTTTTTGAACCCTTCATGGATCTTTGTACTTGTGATGGTTTGTATGTTTTTGGCCCAGAGAGTGTCACTATTAGGAGGTGTGGCCTTGATGCAGTAGGTGTGTCACTGTGGGTGTGGACTTAAGACCCTCACCCTAGCTGCTTGGAAGTCAGTCTTCCACTTATCAGAACTTGGTACCAGAGACTGGGATATTGCTGTGATAGGAATGACCATGCTTCTCTTTGGAAGAATATGGATTTTGGAACGTTGGATTTGGAAAGCAGTAGAATGCTTTAAATGGGGCTTAATGGGCCATCCTTGTAGGACTATGGAAGGCTTTGTTACTGAGAGTGATTTGAACTGTGTAGACCTGGCCCAAGAGGTTCCAGTGGAGACTTTCAGTATGTGGCCTAGAGACTGTTTTGTGGTATTTTGATGAAGAATGTAGCTCCTTTTTGCCCTTGTCTGAAGAGTCTGCCTGAGGCTAAGCTGAAGAGACTCAGATTAATTGCATTGACAAAGGAAGTCTCAAAAAAGCCCAGTAGAGACTTTATTCTCTGGTTAAATCTCATGAAGAACATTTTTAACAAGCATAGAAAGCTTAGAGAGGAAAAATATAAAATATATGGTTTGAGTATTAAAGGGGCACCAGGAAGTGAAATGGAGCCGAATCCTGTGTTCTAGGAGATAGCAGATCAAGAGAGTGGGACTTTGGGACCAGATCTTACCCAGCTAAATTTAGGTCTAGTCACAGTAATACAAGCCTTTAATCCCAGGAGATAAAGCTAAACAGATCTCTGAGTTCAAGGCCAGCCTAGGACAGAGCAAATTCTACGTGAAGAAAAACTTAAATCCAGGCTTGGAGAACCACACCTTTAATCCCAGTGCTTAGGAGACACAGCCATGCAGATCTGAGTTCAAAGTCAGTCTACAGAGCAAGATCCAGGACAGCCAAGTTTAGGCAGTGAAAGAGTTGGAAAACAGAAAGCTGGTAATAACGTACTAGAACAAGGGTCCATGTTCCAGCCCTAGCAAGCAGCAGAACTAGGCAGCTTTGGCCGTGTGGCTCTGGCTATAGAGTCCAGAACAGAAGGGACTACAGGGACAACTGATGCTGGTTAGCTGGAGCTAATAACCAGTAACGATTAAGAAGAGATCGACATCACTAAGGTGAAAACTTTTTTCATTTCTATTTTATGAGCATGCAAAATTTACCTATTTGAGTCCCCATGTGCCATTTACATGCCTGGTTCCTGCAGAGACAGCAGAGGACACTGGATCCTTTGGAACTGCAGTTAGAGATACCTGTGAGTGGTTTCTGCCACAAAAAAAAAAAAAGAAAGAAAGAAAGAAAAAAGAGAAAAAAAAGGAAATTTGTATAAAACTGGAGGAAATGTGAAAACAAGTTATTCAATTATTTTTAATTCTTTGATAATTATATATACAATATATTTTATTTACATTAAATCTTATCCATCCTTTAATTATTCCAAGGTTTACTCTCTATCCCACCTCCTCCTAACTTAGCTCTCTGTCTCTCTGTCTCTCTGTCCCTCTCTCTCTCTCTCTCTCTCTCTCTCTCTCTCTCTCTCTCTCTCTCTCTCTCTGTTTTACAACCTATGGAGTTCAATTTCTGCCTCTTATATTTCCTGTTATAGATTGTCACCATATGGGTGTATGATCCAGAAAGTGCCAGCTCCGAAGAGCTGTTGAAGACCGCAAAGAAACCTTCACTGGTTAGTACCAATATTTGTTGGATCATACTGGTTGCCAATCTTTTTCTGAGGACCGAGTTTATACTATAAGCAATGTGTAGTATTTTAAGTTTCCTGAGGCCAGTGCAAACCACCTTTATGGTTCCCTTGTTCAGTTTAGTCATCATAGGTATTTTGAACTGCCCTTGATCTCTGCAATTATACACCTCTCCATTGAGCACCCTTCTCACCATTGGTGAAGAGGCAGATCCTTTGTATGCTTTAAGGATGTCCTATGAGTATATACATTTGAAGTCATGCATCAAAATCTTAGCTAAGGTGTAACATAGCAAATATTTCAGCCCTTTCGTATATTCATTACAAATTTACTGCTTTGAAGAGTTGAATTTCGCATACTGTTTCAATGGAAAACCTATGGACGAATATCAGTATAGACAATTGTTCTCATGAGCCTGTTGCTATCTTAGTGACTAGTCAGGAACTCTGATATGGTGTGTGTGTACATAAGATATGTTGGGGGTGGAGGCATGTCAGGGCATGTGTGTATAGGCCATGTGTGTGTACATAAGCTACCTTGGGGGTGGAGGCATGTCAGGGCATGTGTGTATAGACCATGTGTGTGTACATAAGATATGTTGGGGGTGGAGGCATATCAGGGCATGTGTGCATAGGCCAGGAGACAGTTCTGTAGAGTTGGTCCTCTTTCTCCTTACAGCTTCATTTGGATTCCAGGAATTGACCTTTGGTTTCGGAGGTGCATTTTGACTGGGCCTAGGTTACTGGTCACTAACTCTTTCTAATACTGTCTAAACCCATTCATTGGCCTAGTTAGTTATCTTTTTATTTGGTTGTTTAACAAACCTCCTATTTCACATTTAAAGCTTCCTACTATTTAAAAATGTATTCACATTTGTGTTCTAATTGAGCACGGTATCCATATTAAAATAGAAAACTAGTGTGGTATATTTATTTTCTTCCATTTCCAAAGCTAGATGTTCAAGAGTAGGTTTCCCAAAGGGCTTTATTTTTTGTGTTAGCTTTCCAAGGCTTGTAGATCATGCACAGCAGTGGAATTTGATTTGAACAAGGTTTGTGTTTTTGTGACTTTCTTCGGTTGTCATAAGATCTTCATGCATTTTCTTTTCTTTCCCGCCCCCTTTAAAGCTAAGATACAGTCTGTTGTACTACGTGCTACATTTTGTTTATCTCTCAGTGACATTTGGCTTGTTTCTACTTATGGGCTATTGTGAACTATGCTGGTAATTCTGCTTTAAATTTTTTAGAATGCTGCAGTGTTTCCCATAGCACTTACCCTGTCCTATATTCCTACCAGCAGTCCAGAAAGGTCCAATTCTTCCACAGCCTCAGTTACACTTTCTAGGTTTTGTAGAGTCAATGCAGTTGTTTTTCTTCTTTAAATAGCCATCCTTAACAATAGGGAAATCTCACTGAGCCATTTGCCTGTTTGTTCTTTAGGTATGATCTCACTGTGTAGATCTAGCTGGCCTCCAACTCAGGGATCCACCTGACTTTGTCTCCTAAATGTGGATTCAAAGTGTGCTCCACATTTCCCTGAATCATTGTGGCTCCAATTTGCATTTCTGTAATGAACACTGATACTGAACGTGTCTTCGTGTCCCTGTTGACCATTTAGATAATCTTTGGGGAGAAATGTCTTTTCAAGTCTTTGTTCATTTGTGATCGTGTTCTTTCTAAATTCTTGAGCTTTAAGAGCTTCCTCTATGCTGCAATAGTTGGTTAATCCACTCGAAATTCCCCCCTGGTGGCTGTGCATGCTCTTCTAGCTACTGCATGAATGTTGTGGATTCAGGAATGAAAGACATACACACATAGCCTTTTATTTTAATATGTCTTAAACAGCACAATACAAACCTCCCTGCAGCTAACACACTCTCCCCTCTGATAGTCCTAAATTATTACTTACTAAAACATATTCCATCCTGGCTGCTATAGACCCAGCCCTGCAGCACTCATGGGCCACGATCCCCAACTCTTATATGTTGGCACTGTCTCTGTCTCTCTATCCTACACCTTTCAGTCGGTGACCTTCTTTTTCCCTGGAAATGGTGATTCTCTTCCTCCTTCGAGTTCCTTGCCAAGGAACCTCAAAGTCCAGGCTCTGTTTCCTTGCCCAGCCACTGGCCATCAGCAACTTTATTTACCAATTAGAGCAAACCGGGGGCAGGGACCCACAGTGTCTCACATGCGGAAGTGTAAATTCCCATAAAATTTCAGAACCCATAATGTAAACATTAAATCAAGTCCACAACATCTATATAATCTGAATATTAATATCATACAGAATGCGATTTGCAAATATTTTCTTTCATTTGTCTTTTTACCTTGTTGATGGTGTCCTTTGGTACACAAAAGCTTTTAACTTTGAAGAAAGGCATTTACCCTTTGAGTGACTGCAGCATCAATTTCTCGTCTTTTCTTTATGTGAGTATATGATATGTTTGTACAGAAGAATGGACATGAGGAGAACAGAATTCAAGGTCAAATTCTGGAGACCTTCATTGTTTGTGGAAGGAGATGACAAGGAAGTGTTAGCATCAAGAAGTGCTTCATATGGGAAGACCACCCCAGTATATCAGATGCCAACAGACAGACTTTTTATTTTTTAAATTATGGGGCCACTAAGCTTGGTCGTAAGATGATGTTTTTTGCTTCCAAGCCTGAATGACCTGGGTTCAATCCCTGTGACCTAGGTGAAGGAAGGAGAAAACTGACTCCCTCAAATTGTCCTGTGTCTTTCACATGTTTACTATGGCAATGTACACTTCCTCCCCACAACAAAAATACAAAATTAACATTTCAACACTTAGGTTTCTGTATTTCAGAATCTCCATGGTCTTCATTCACATAAGATTCTGATAGCGCAAGAATGTTTTCAGTATGTTGGATCCTTTATTATACCTTATATTTTTTTTTATAAACTGAAGCAAGTACTCTACCACTGAACTATACCCCTATTCTGTGACATTAATAGTTCGTAACCTTGTCATTGGGAGGAAGCTATATGGTTAAAAGAAACAAATAATGAAAGTATGTTGAATATATAAGAATAAACAATGTCTTAACTAAAAGAACAAATTTAATACAGAATTAAACACACGAAAGTACTTCCAAATACCTTTGGCTATGAGAATAATAAAAGGAAAACCTTATTTTGTTTTTATTTTTTCAGAATTCCAAGGTACTAACCAAACATTTTGAAACCCTGGGACAACATCCATCCATATACACAACTGAGAAGAGGCTCACGTACCACTCAGGTCCCTTAACTTCAGAAGGGTATTTAATTCTTTTAATTTATCTTCAATTTAAAAAACAAAAGCTTTGAAAAAGATTTGAAAACATTAGTAGACTTTTACAAAATGTACTTGACATGTGATTTCCAAGGATAGAATTCTTTTTATGACACAGAAAAAGAAATGTTTTTTTCCTGTGATAATTCCAACTGATGAATCAACTCAGAAAATACATTCTTGGATGATTGTTTCCCTATGTGGTTAAAAACCTAATCCTCAATCTAAAAGCCTCCTTAGGGGTGACCATATCCCTAAATGAACCCTACTCTGCCGTGAAAATGGGCTGCTGTGATATGAAGGATGTAGTGGTCACAGCCTCCACCAGTGCTCATTAGCACTCCCGCTGTCCTACCCACAATTCCAACCTGAGAGGTAGCATGTTAGCTGTGGAAGGTGGGATACAGTTACTGTCTTCAGCAAGGGAACAGACATTTTCTGATAGAGGTGGTAACATGTTAACTATGGAAGGTGGGATACAGTTACTGTCTTCAGCAAGAGAACAGACATTTTCTGATAGAGGTGGTAACATGTTAACTATGGAAGGTGGGATACAGTTACTGTCTTCAGCAAGGGAACAGACATTTTCTGATAGAAGTGAACCCACACTACTGTGTAATATAGCAGTGCCTGACACTGGCTGCAGAAGAGGGGAATAAGGCATGCCTGAAAGTAGAGTTAGCCTTGTAAGTGTGGGTGGAGGGGGCATGTACACAAGAGCCTTCAGACTGGGGCTTAAGAGAACAGACAAATTCTAAGAGATGCAGAAAACTGTCATGAGTAGGAAGAGCAAGAAGTACCACTCAAAGGATCTTCAGAACACTGATAAGCTGGAATTCAAATTCTTCCTGCTTTTGTAACACTTGAGAAGTGGGTCCCTATAAAACCAGTCTGAAGGCCTTCTCTGATGTAGGAGAAGGGTGGGAAGGTTATGAGAACGTGTTCCTTTTCTATTTTTAACAAACTGTGTTGAAGAGAACTTACATGCCATATAACCCCACCCTTTTAAACTGTAGTTTAAACTAATTCAGTGTGTACGTTGATAATTTCAGATTTTGACACATTGTTTAATCGTTCTAAAGTTGATAAACATGTTGGTTATTTTCTTCAACTCTGTTAAGAGTAATGCTGCTGGGGCATCTGTATGCAGCTGTCCAAGTAACAACAAGTTTTGTTTCTCTTCAGTATATATCAAGGAGTGAGATTGGAGTCACACAGTATCTCTACATTTGATTTTTGAGGAATGGCTAGATTGCACGGTTATAAAATCACTGCACCATTCAGATTTCCCCCAGCAGTATATGAAGTTTACTATTTCTCTACACCCATTGCATAATACCTGTTATGATTTGCTTTAGATATAGAAGCACTCATTTGTGTAACTAACCACTTGCCACTCAAGTGCTTGCCACTCAAGAAAGCAATAGATGATGTGCGAAACTATATGTTAAGAAAGAGGAGTATGGAGCTGTTCATCTGTGGTTAGAGAGACACATTGCAGCAGAGAGAGTATCAAAAGTCAGTATTTTCCTCTGTCAGTGTGAAGAGTGAAAAACGGAGCCAGAGCAGCCTTATGCTGATAAAAGCTTAATTTTTTTTTTAAAGCATAAGCTCTGAGGTAAATTGGAGAAAGGAAGGATCAGTGTGCCCACTCCTGTTTCCTCTCTGTCTCATTTTTCTTCTCCTTAGAACCTGGGTCATTCATCTGCCAATGTCTTCAGATGATATAGTCAAAGTGATAAAAGGTAAAAAAGTGGCTTTCCAGGACTGCCTCATTGCAAATCTCCAATTCATGCTGACGTTTCCCATAATGACCATCTCTGAGCCTCCTGAATATCTGCCAATCACCCTGCCAGCTGGAAGTCCGCTGCTGCTTAGCTGGCATGCCTGCATCACTGCATTTGCTCTCTTGGTCACTGACCAGGAGAGCTTCCAAACAAATGATTCGTTTCAAACCTGGACCAAAGTAAGAGTCCCTCCAGGTATCCTGAGTGATGCTCAAAGGCACAGTCTGAGGGATGCGATCGTATTTGAGCATGGAAGTCTGTTTCTAGTAGATACTACTGCTTACCTAAGAACAAGAGATGAATTTATACAACTGAACGAAAGCAGAGGTATTTCTGGAACTGGAATTCTTGGCTTTTCAAGAAGAAGATGGTGTCAGATTAGATATTTATATAAGGTTAGTGAAAGATGATATATGTGTGTCTATAAGCAACATATAATTAGATATTAAACGATAGTATTTGTTCAGGAATATATCAGGAATCTATTAAGCAGCATTTTGCATGCTTGTTATTGCTCCCAGACACGTACTAACCCTCTTAGCTTTTAAGATCAGACAAGATTCATCATGTTGGAGCTCACATGATACTATAGGCATGGTTATTTTATCTAAATATATAAACAGCTGTATCTCTTGCATCCAAGTTTTCTGAGGTCTCTTAGCAGCAAAGCTGCATCCCCAGTGATAAAGAGTAAAATTGATCCTGATGGCATCATGCAGAGCAAGCAATTCACTCATATTGTGGAGACAAAAGGTCCCCCATTTATTCTCCCCTAGTCCCTGTGTGCTTTCAAATTTAATCAAATCATTATAACAGTATGGACAATACACACCACAGCATTCTTACTATCAAAACATTAAAACATTAAAAATGTTGCACAAAAATTGAAATGTTTTTAAACTACGATTTTGGGCTCTTAAGGAAATATGCCATAGCAAAACCAAGTCTCTTAGGTTGAATGTTAGAATGTATGTGATAGCCAAGATGACCAGGATAGAGCTGAATAATGTGTAAAAGTTCCAGTTGCCTTGGATCCTGGTCATTTGAGGGTGGGGTTGCTGCTGCTGCTGGAATCAACGATGGGGCAGGGCTTTCTTACAATATTCTCTCCTCATAAACACTGATAAAACATTTTATAACTCCACAGCATGGACTCCACCAAGCTGTTCCACTCCACTCTGCTTAGCTTTGCCAACTACACCGATGCTTTGGGACATAAGCCTACATTTAATCTATGTCTTGACTGAATTTGTTCCTTCAAGAAGACAAGCATCAAGGAACACACCACCACTCAGCCCCTAACCCTGCACCCAAACATTGCTTCAGCAAAAGAAATTCCGAGAGGAAAACAAACAAACAAACAAACAAACAAAAACACACACACACACACACACACAAAAACAGGTGTCCCAAAGAACTGGCCCAGAGGAAGATGCACATTCCAGCATGTTAGCTATCCTCAGAATTGACCTCTGATGGTCAGAGCTCAGATATCAGGTGGCAAAGGAGGAATCTGGAACAAACTTTTTGCATAAAATAATGATCTTCAAATAGATCCTCATGTGTTGTTGAAATTTTTACTCCCAATCCCAGGATTCTACCCTGACTTTGATCATTCATTTCCCAGATTGTAACAGCCCATTCTGCCCCACATTTGGGGGCCACTTTGTCCTGGCCCGTTCTGCTGCTCCAGTTCGCAGGTCAGGGTCTAGCAAGAGAGAGAGTGGGGATGGAGGGGCAAGAGACTCGAAGAATGGAGACAAGACAGAGAGTGTGTTCAAGTCTCTCTTTTTTTTTTTTTTTTTTTTTGATTTTTCGAGACAGGGTTTCTCTGTGTAGTCCTGGCTGTCCTGGAACTCTGTAGACCAGGCTGGCCTCGAACTCAGAAATCCGCCTGCCTCTGCCTCCCAAGTGCTGGGATTAAAGGCATGTGCCACCACCGCCCGGCTCAAGTCTCTCTTTTATTGAAAGGAAATCTTGGGTATTTATATCCTTTACCACGTGCCTTACCCTCGTGGACAGGCACAGCTGAAGGCACTATGACACGTGCCTTGTAGTGTGGATATCACGTGCGCCTAGCTATCAGTGTGGAGACCAATTGTGCCTAGTAGCATTGAGACCACGTGTGCCCTGTAGAAGGGGAACTAAACAGCAAAACAAGATATGTGAGAAAAACAAGATGCTTATCAGAGTGTGTTCAGCTGTTGTCGGCTGTTGAAAACCAGTCTCTTGTCACAGTATATGGCCTGAGATGGCTGCAAAGATGATAGCCGCTTTCTGCTAGGAGTCGGCTCCCAACACTGGATAAAAGACACACACAGCCTTCATATTTACAATGAGGCTTAAACAGCACAAGAGCTGGGCAGATATCTATCTTCTATGTTAGAACCTACTTTCCAGGGGCTGGAGAGATGGCTCAAAGGTTAAGAGCACTGACTGCTCTTCCAGAGGTCCTGAGTTCAAATCCCAGCAACCACATGGTGGCTCACAACCATCCGTAATGAGATTGAATGCCCTCTTCTGGTGTGTCTGAAGACAGCTACAGTGTACTCATAAATAAAATAAACATTTTTTTAAAAAGGAAAATATATACACAAACACACACACACACACACACACACACACACATACGTACACATATCTCTCATACACACTCTATATATATATATATATATATATATATGAACCTACTTTTCATCTGGGCTCTTCTTGCCTCCAGTTGGCCATCCCGCAGGCCCATGTTTTCTTGACTCTTAACCCAAGGTGTCTTTCTCCTCCTCCTTCACCTTTTTCTGCTCCTCATGGTTCTCTGACCTCAAGCCCAGGAATCCTAAACCCCACCTGTCTTAGTTAGGCTTTCACTGCTGTGAACAGACACCATGGCCAAGGCAAGTCTTATAAGGACAACATTTTTTTTTTAAGGTTTATTTATTTTATGTATTCACCATTGCTCTCTTCAAACATACCAGAAGAGGGCATCAGATCCCATTAAAGATGGTTGTGAGCCACCATGTGGTTGCTGGGATTTGAACTCAGGACCTCTGGAAGAGCAGTCAGTGCTCTTAACCACTGAGCCAGCTCTCCAGCCCTAAGGGCAACATTTAATTGGAACAGATTCAAAGGTTCAGTCTATTATCATCCAGGCAAGCATGGCACAGGAGGACCTGAGAGTTCTACACCTTCATCTCAAGGCTGCTATTGGGAGACTGACTTCCAGGCAGTTAGGATGAGGGTCTTAAAGCCCAAACCCACAGTGACATACCTATTCCAACAAGGCTATACCTCCAAATAGTGCCACTCCCTGGCCAAGCATATTCAAACCATGACACCACCTATGTCTCTTCTGCCCAACTATTGGCAGTCAAGATCTTTATTTACCAATCAGAGATAACTTGGGAACAAGATCATATAGCATTATGTGAGTCTATGCCCAGACTCCAGATCTTGGGGGCCTGCACTTAGCATTACAATACACAGCAAGACCAAACCTCAACACTAACACATTCAAACCTATGTCAGCCTTTCATCCCCAAAAAAAGAAGGGGATGAAGAGTTGGCTTAGCAGTTAAAAGCACTGACTGTTCTTCCAGAGGACCTGAGTTTGATTCCCAGCACCAACCTGGTAGATCAACACCATGTGTAACTCCAGTCCCAAGGGATCCAACACCCCCTTCTGACCTCCTTAGGCACCAGGCATGTACATGAGTATACAGACATACATTTATGCAAAGCACTCACACACATGAAACAATAAAATAAAAAATCTAAAAATTTAATGGTCTGTACTCTAGAATACTTAAAAGAATGCAGACCATTTTGGTGTATATGTGTATGTGTATACATGGATATTTAAGTGTATACACATATATACATGTATGTGTATACACATATATACATGTGTATATATGTATATGTGTATACATGGATATTTAAGAATATCCATGTATACACATATTCAGAAAGCAACAACTAATGGAAAACAGAAGTCAAGATTTTGAAAGAGGACAAGAAGGGGATATGGGAGGATTTGGAAGAAGGAAAGGGAAGGGGAGATGATGTAATTTTATTCTTAAAAATAAAAGAAATATTTTTAGAAGTGTTTTAATCTGGACTTTATAAATAGTAGCCAACTCACAGTATTGAAGGAATTTGAACTTACAGTAGCTGTGTGAGTTACTCACATGAGATCTGAAAAGTCTGAATTAAGTAATTATCTTTATCAGGCTGGCCTCTGAGGGTCATCTTTGTTGTTGATTGACAGTGAAAGTCCAGCCTAAAAATAGGCAGTACCAGTTTCTAGGTTTAGGCCCCGACTGTTATGTGTAGAGAGAGGGCTGAGCCCAGGTGAGCATGCGTTGACTCTCACTGATCCTAACTGTGGGTGTGGCCCTGGTTCAGGCTCCTGCTTTGGCTTCTCTGCAATGATGGACTATCACCTGAAAATTTTAGCTAAAAACAAAACCAAATCCTTCTCCCTTGAAGTTGCTTTGGTTAGAGTTTTTGGTCATACGAATTGGGGAGATACATTTCTGTATTAGAAAAAAAGAGCTGTCTCAAATCAAACATTTCTGTTTCCACATTAGAAAAGTAGCTGAGGCCTGGGAAGGTATTCCACAGTAGTGTCTTTCTTCTATTACATATCAGTGTTGATGTTAAAAGCTGCAATGATTATGAAATATTTATAGCAGATTTTTTCATAGTGGTCACTTTACACTGATTTTTGACATATTCAATCTTTCAACATGTCAGCTCTCAGAGGTTATAGTGCAGCATTTTGTTTTAATCTTATATAGAGACATCCTGGTTTTTAATTTTCAGTGCTGGGGTTCAATCCCAGGACTTCACACATACTAAGCACATCCAGCCTCTAGCTCTGAAATGTTTGTTGCTTATGCCTTCTCTTTAACCATGAGTCTTCCTCTGCCTTTGTATTTAAGGAATGCTTTTTATAGACTTAACCTTTTCTGTGTTGTTGTTAATTCATAGTGCTAACTTCTGCTTTTGAGTAGAGCCTATTTAGATTTAATGCTAACTAATGCTATGGCTTGATTAAATTAAGACTACTATTTGGGAAGCTGGAAAGATTGCTTAATGCTTAAGAGTGCTTGCTGCTTAATCAGGTAAACCAGAGTTTGGATCCAAGCACCCATACTGGGCAGTTCTCAAAGGCCTACAACTCAGGAGTGTGAAATCTAATGTATTTTTTGGCTTCCGTGGGCACGTGAACTCCTGTGAGAATATATTCACATGGACAACACACACACACACACTAAACATTTAGGGACAGGGAATGAAAGATCACTATTTTGGCTTCTTCTCCTCTCTACCAGGCAATGAACCTAGGCCCCCATGCATGCTAGTCCAGTGCTCTACCACTGAGCCACACCTCCCTAAAGCAACATTTATTACCTGTTCTTCAAACTGGTTCTTTGGTCCTTTGTTTATCCATTCTTGCCTTGTTTTAAATATGTCATGCAATTTTTTAGTATTTTCATGTTGCTTTAAAATAAAAGCTGTTTTTGGCAGCTATATGTTGTGGTAAATCTCCAACCTCAATAACCAGGTGTAAAGAAAACATAACTCAATTATAATATTTATAAACTGTACGCCTAGATTGGGCAGATATACCACTACAGTATCCTGTTCCCCAGCTATGAAATCTCTTGTTATTTGTGGTTCTTACAGGTCACATGTTTCTGGTCCATCTTCCTTGTACCTCTTCTTCCTCTGTCATCCTCTCTCTCCTCCATCTCTTCATCTCTCCCCCTCCTTCCTCTCTCACCCTCTCTAAAACTCTCAGCCCCACCTTTTTTTCCCTCTGCCCAACCACACGCTTTAGCCTTTATTTGAACAGTTAAAATGGGGAGAAATTTTACCTGAAATCACTGAGGATGTGATCTGTTCTTTGTTGGGGCAGCTCCTCTGGAGAAAGCAGAATTAGCATCAAAATACAAACAGCACCAGGCAATCTCCATCTATACTGAGATTTAGAGCATCACCTTTCAGCTACCAGGGTTTAACTTTAAATAACTAGGGCACATTCCAGTAGGACTGTGCCTCTCTACTTATACCCCAATGCTTTGTATGGTGTCATTCTACTTCTAAATATGCTATACATCTCATGACACATTCTCATGGCAATAGCACACTTTAAGTAACCATGTTTTATAGAAACTCATAGATATACATGCAAAATGATAAAAATTAAAAGATTTTTATTGTTGTTATCTTGTTGTTCCATGGGATATTTGGGTTTGATGGTTTATTTGTTTTTGAGACAAGGTCTCACTATATAGCCCAGGCTGGCCTCAAACTCAAAATCTTCCTCAACTTCCTAACTTCTGAGATTATTGGTGTACAACACCATGCCCAGCAAGAAAGATGAATAACTAAGCAAGGAAAGGCTGATATATTTAAAGTTTTAAAGGAAATAATATTTATTCTTTCTACTGCTAGAAATATCAGAAAATATTCTTAGAATTCTTTTCGTAATATGTGATGCGATGTGTTTTTATTTAATCAGTGCATGAAGTATTACTCTGAAATACACTGAAAGGAAACTTGGTAATGAACCCTTTTCTTCTCTTTACTTTTGTTAATTACTTAATTCTCTTCTCATTACTTTTGGTAGTTGGGGTTGAACCCAGGATTTGTGTGGCTATAGTTACCCTCCCAGACTCTATTCTCCATTTCCAGTTTAGTAAAAATAGAAGACAAAAATTGATAGACCAACTCTCTATCACTGAGGATTTTTCAATTTGTTTTTCTTTTCCAGCTTTCATCAAGAAAAAGCATATTAGTGGCTTGGTCAAGTAGTACAATTTACTATGGATATCCTAAATTTAGATTTATGACATTAACAACTACTTTACAGCTAAAAAGTTTTTTGAAGCTTCCCCTCACTGACACCCTGGAAATAATGACTGTTGAGTACTCATGGCACCCGAGGGAGCTTGCTATTGTGCTGACCCACTGCTCTGTCTGCACCGACGTCAGGAACATTCGCATAGTGATATATAATTCAATATATAAAAGATATACACTCCAGGACTTTGAACTAGAACTGCCCAAGGAGAACATATTAGAAGCTCGCTTTCTTTACTCGGCCATGCCTGATCTTATCCTGTGGGACCAATACCATGTTTACTATAGCTACAAAAACTTCACTGCTATTGGAACTTTCGAAGCACTTACAAAAGAAAAGGACTTGTCATTGTCATCACAGGGCAGCAAAGTCCACACCGTCATTACAGGTAGGGTATTCTCAATCCTGCAAAAAGGATTCTAGGTCTCATTATGTTAGTTATATAGAGATCGTAAATGTTCCAATATGTGGTACTTTTAATGACTAATGCTATATATCTACTACATAAAGCTTAATAGATTCTACATTTGGCCAGCATTAAACTGTACCTTTAATTTTCTCAAAACCTTTTTAAAATAATGGTTCATAAACATTTTAACCTTTCTTGTAGCCCACCACCCACCAGAGATAGTAGGAAAGAAAGGATACAGGGAAGTGCACCTGCTTAGAAAGGTTCTTTGAAGCAACTCCTGTCTGTGTTGTCTGGAATTTGGCAGTTCAGTTCACAGGTCAGCAGGCAGCACAGTTCGATCCACTCAGGAACACTTCACAGATACACCAGCAGTCTAGTTCAGTAGAGTTGGGTTAGCAACATTGGTGACACAACCCAGCAGACATAGCCAGGCCTCAACCATGACTTAGTTCAGCAGGAGGGACCAACAGGAACAGCAGGAGAAGTTCTCCTGCCTCTCTCATCAGAGCAAAGATCAGTGAAGACTCGAGACCCACAAGCATTGCACAGGTACCTGTATCAGCAAGCCAAGCTCTGTCTCTGTCACCTCATAGAGTCCTTTTTATACCCTCCAACCATCATGTGTCCTCTACATGTCTTCTCTCAGCACGTGTCCTAAGCAGGTGCATCCAACCAGCTCAAGTCCACAGAGTCCCAACAAATGGAGCTCAACTATGCAATGTAAGGCAAACCAACACATGTGTGTTTTTAGCAACGAATCCTTCATCACCTGTCCTTTCGCCTCTTTGCTTTAGCAGAACATCCTTTCTCTTGTGTCTGCTTCAGCTAAACGTTCCTTTACAAGTCTACCTCAGTCTTTCACCAGTGTCCATTTCAGGAAAACACTCCCTAAGGTGTTCACCCCAGCAAAACACCATCCATCACAATCCAAAGAACTGTAAAGTTTCCACTTCATTAAACCATGATTCCATGGGCAGAGGGGCAAACTGAAAAGCCTCATTTCATTTGATTACCAGATGCTAACAACACGTTTTATGTATTTGTTGTAGTGAGTGATGTTGTACTGCTTAACGTTCCTAAAGTTCACACAACTAAGTACCTCAATCTGTACCTCATATCACAAACCTACAAGCAAGGAGCCAGAAATCAAGTTGTCAATAGGACATGTTCTTCTGCAACCTGCGATGGAGAAGGCGGCAGTCTCTTGATTACTGTTTTTTGTTTGTTTTGCCTTTACTTGTCTCACATGCACATCAATCCAGTGTTTCCTTCTGTTACCACACTGTGTTCTTCATGTGTGCCTCTGTTTTCATGTCCTCTGAGCTTTTTTTTTTTACAAGTGTATCATGGTATTCACAAATAAGCACACATACACACACTCTTTACCTTCATACACACGCACGTATACACACACACACACACACACACACACAGAAGACATAGTCAACCATAGTGGATTAGGGTCCAGCTGTATCCGACGCTATTAAGAAAATCATGTTCTGAAGTCGTTGATCCTCCTGAGTATTAAAATTTTAACTTATCCTTTTGGATGTATATAGTTCAGTTCCTAAATTAATGTAGGTTTATGTAGGTCTATGTTCAAATCCACAAACAAGGCATTCAAGTCATTTAACCCCTCTAAGCCTCAGCTTTGAAATCCTATGGATTAAATGTCATAACTTGTAATCACCTTTTCTTGACCTCAAGTTACCTTTAATTCATAGCACTTCAATTTTCTTCCTTCATGTATTCCAAGAAAGTGCCGTTGTAACATCACATCATTGTCCCCTTTCCTAGCAGTCCCCTTGGAATCAATACTTACCAGACTATCAACTTGTCAACACCAGTAACTTGAGGTCAGTTCCCAATCGTCTTTCATGATCTGCCAGTGGCATTTGAGATAAGTGAGCAAGACCCCCGGCCGTTCTAAACTCCAGTGGTTTCAGCAGCTGTGCTACTGCCCTCACTGACATTTACAATACCTTCATCAGTTTATCATTTACCAATACCTAGTTTACAGTTTGTGCCTGAAGTTGAAGGAATGTTAATCTGAGGTTTCCCACCATTGTAATAAGATTCATAGCTATACCTGCCACATGTGGCCTTAGTCTTCCTATCTGACCTCCTGGTCAGGGTTAGATTTAATCCAATTTATATGTTGTTTTACCCAAGATGGTGTCCCAATCTCTAGGAGCTGAGAAGATACCATTTGAAGTGGCCAAGGACCCACTAGGCCTACAATCTAAGTTCCAGCTAGTTGTAATTTCAACTTTGGTCTCTTACCATTTATAGCAGTTTGCCAAAATATTTGTTTTCTGGTATCTTTCGAAACTCCTAGTTAGGAGTAGTTAGACTTAGAACAGTGCTATCTGTCATATCAGGCATTAGCTTTGTTGACTGTCCTCTAGAACAGTCTCTCTTTAGCTAACAGTGAACAAATGGCCCATGTTATTTTTTTGTTAGGGCCTGAGAAGAGACCCTTAGGTCACTTTCCAATTTTAGGAAATGGCCTCAAATATCTCTAAATGATCTATGTTCATAAGCCCTGTGTTCAATCTTTCTCCATCTCTTACACATTTCAGGAAGTTTTCTTTCTGGGTTATCATTAGAGAAAATATTATCCCAAGGAACTGTTTGTCTACAGTCCTTTAGGGAAGGACCTGGTCCTCCATAGCCAGAGCACTGGCTTTCTGAGCTCTCTTCCTTTCAGCAGCTGCTTGTCCTATCATAGCAGTATATTGTAAGCATTAGATCCAATAGCTGTTGTAGTTTTAACCCATTCATAAGTAACTGTGGATCTGGGCTTTAAAAGTTTAATAGCCTTTTTGCATTCAGTATTCATATTCTCGAAAGCTAATAACTCAATTAAAATTTATATTGCTCTATTTACAGCTAAAGTTAATCTTTGTACAAAAAAAGAAAAAAAGAAAAAGATTCCTCTGAGCCCTGAGTTATTTTTGTAAATGATTCAAATTGTTTTCCCTGTTGTGTAACTTTGTCCCAAGTGTTAAAGCTACTATATGACATTGCCCTAAGGTGGCATCATTAAACATAATCCGCATTCATAACTGAGCATATTGATCTTTACCTAGTAATTGATCCTTGACAATATTAATCATTCTAGTCCAATTATGTTGCTCCACAGCTGAAACCTCATAGGTCAGCCACTATAGTTGAGGGCTAGCTTCTCAAACAGCTGATATTAAATCTTTCTAATCTTTTGGAACTATATGATTGTGCATGACCCATTTACTAGCTATCAGTTTCATGTAAGGTGAGTGCATGCTATAAGCTACTATTGCCTCTTTAAATCTTTTTAGATCTATCATTTCTATGAGCTCCCACCCAAATTCTTCACAGCCCTGTGGGTTTCTCTTCTCTGGAGCTAATTGTCTTACTGTAGCTGGAAAAGCTATTGTAGGCTTTCTCATGGGTCTAGACTGCCATCTGCCATCTTGTTACAGGGGCTACCCTAGGCTTTAGATGAAATTTCTCTGGGCTAACTTGAAAAATCCTTTATCCTGATGTGAAAGATCCTCTAATTTCTGTTCTATTGCTTACAATTCAGCATTCCATCTCTCAGTACTTTCCTTATTTAAGTCTTTTTTACTCTGATCTCTCTTAGAGAGAACATAGAAAACTACAATTATTATTGAACACATTAATTCGATGCTGATAATTAAAACAAAACTATACGGGTTCCAATTGCCCTCTGCCATAGTGCTTTCCATATTTTAACACAGAAACTATGTTTCTTTTAATCTTGCTAATTCTCTCCTTCCTTTAGAGAATTCACTTTATTATATCCAAATTCAGTATTTCTATGACTGTCTATCTTCAGTTTCTTTCTTCCTTCCTTTCTTTCTTTCTTTTTTTCTTTCTTTCTTTCTTTCTTTCTTTCTTTCCTCCTTCCTTCCTTCCTTCCTTCCTTCCTTTCTCTCTCTCTCTCTCTCTCTCTCTCTCTCTCTCTCTCTCTCTCCCTTCCTTCCTTCCTTCCTTCCTTCCTTCCTTTCTTTCTTTCTTTCTTTCTTTCTTTCTTTCTTTTTTTTTTTGTGACTATAAACATTTACAAAACATTTCTACCTATATCTCTAGGTGCGAGCAGTGCGCGACAGGTCACTATGAGCTCTGGGCCTCAGCTTCCTGCCACAGGGCAGCACACTGCTCCGGGGAGGTTAGTGGGCCCCTGGAGTGAGGGTCCAGGTCTGTCCACTACCTGCCACTCCCAGAGTAGCATGCTGCCTCCAGGAAACCGTTCCTGCCCCCCTCCCTCCTTCCTTCCACCCCACTCTCCTCCACGGTGATCACCACTGGCTGCTGCTTCAGTGACTGGAATCTCTCGTTTGGGTCTTGTGTCTGGAACCTGTGGCCTAATCCTGAATCTGGTGCCAAAAACCAGGATTTCATGCCCAGCGTTGGGTTTCGCAGGTCTTGCTTGAGGTTTAATTAAGACGCAGAGACATGTACAGCGTTTATGGCTATTGGCCTTTTGTTGGGGGCAGAATCGCAGCTACCCTGTAACATAACCTGACTTCTCAGGTTCTCCATCTCTCCAAATAGTTCTCACTGCAGGCCTTCCAGTTCCCTCCCCTCTCCCTTCCAACTTCCTTCTGCCTCTGTCCATATGTCCTTTGTTCTCCCCTGCACCCTTGTCTGCTCAAGAAGTCCTACCCATACTTCCTTTAGCCACCAGGTCTTTATTATATGAAAAGTCACATTCCTTACTCAACTAGTTGGACAGTTTGCCTTCTTTGTTTTCAAGGCAGGTGAGGAAGTGACATTTACACATCCTCTTAGCTGAGCATTGTCAGCTTCAAATAAGAACATACTTTTTCAAAGCCAGAAATTACAATATTTGTGGGTCACCTCAACAATGGGGAGTCTCTGAGAAGGTGATGAGCAGAGTTGAGGGAGGTGGTGACCTGCATTAGAGAAGCCAGAGTATTGCAGCTTTCAGAGATGTAGAATTGAGGGAC